CTTTTGCCTACCCCATCTCAAGAATTAAAATTGTTGTTTTTAAAGTGGAAGCATCAAGGTGCCATATATGTCTCCATTCAACATAATTTTCTCTGGCAATGACATTATAGGATGACTGAGTGCATTCTTGTTGCTGACTACTTGAGCTAGTTTTCCAATGACATGCCTTGCAACGGTGGCCATATCGACCACAAGCAAAGCATATGAGGTTTAATCCCTCATATTCGACGTTGAACAGTAACCCAGCTACAATAATTCTTAACACTAGATTCTTTTAGAGATCCAATTCTATACAAATTTGAGCAAAATGGCCACACTCAACCTTAGCTTTAGACACAGTAAAATCAGCAAGAGTGTTAAGATCAACCTTCAATGTGCGACCAATTCTATTGCCTAATCGAGAGATGAAATGACTATTATAACAGCGCGTTGAAATGTGAGGTATACAAACCCAGGTTACTATTCTTCTTAAAGAATTATGGAATAGGTCAAAGTAAGGTGTCCATTTCTGGATAAGCAAACAGTGTTGCTTGAATACCCACAGTCCTTCATAAAGAGCTTTTGAGTAATGAATTTTCCAGGTGTCTAGGTTTGTGAATCTGACCACGAAATAATTGGTGGGTAAATCAACAATCTTGTATTCAGATGTACCCCACATAAGACGAAGTCCATCTCTAAGAGAGGGAAGAGAAAAATGTCTATCAAGAACTGTAATCACCAGTCCGTAGTTCCAAGGTTTGCACCGGTCATTATATTCTTGAGTTATAGGAACAACAGGATATATCTCCATGGGCTTTTTCATGGACTCGTCCAGCTTTGGTAGTTGTCAAAAAATATCATCTTCCTCCATGGGAACATCTTTAGAATTAGGGAATGACCCACTATTTGCCACACCATTAAAGCTTAAGAGTGATTCCTTATAGGTTGGAATTTTCTAGGGTTGGGGCTTGTTCGAGTTAGAGGGCACCGGCTCATTGTGTAGTGAACATTCAGGGGATTTTCCATCCTATGCAGCTTCTTTTTCCTCCATACAATCATCCATGATGAGTTGGAGATGTTCTTCGACCCTTTTTTTTTCTTGTTTCTACCATCATTTCTAGCATTAGAGGGTCAATTCAACAGGGATTTACATTGGCCAGTGTCCTCCATGAGGATGGAAAAGAGAAATAGTGTGCGTAAAACCCAAGAGAGAGAAACTCACTCAAAGACTTGTTTTTGAAAGTTGGAGGCTTCTTACTTTGTGGGGAGAAAATTATTGTCTGGCCAATACCCTGTTCATCACACACGCCCCTCTCGCATTACACCAAGGTACGTTACCTTACTTATTTTCATAATTTATATATAAATTGATTATATTTATATATCGATGTATGCATAAAGTATACTTAAGATATTGCATTTTAGTTTTTAAGGAAAAAATAAACATTATATTTTCCCTCAAAGCCTTCTTTTATTTGCACAAACTCATAAAAGACTTCTAAAGAAATTGATTTTTAATTAGTATATGCAAAAAAAGTGATTTATTAGCATTATGGAATAAGTTTCCTAATCTTTTATTTTCGGTCAAATGATTCCCATTCCCAATCTATCTTGATTGGTGATCAACAATGTTAAATTATATTAATTTCCTTTTTTTTAATCTCAAAGACTAGTTTCTTATTCGTAGTAGACCTTAGGAATCAATAATTATACACACCCAAGAACAAAAATAAATTGCAATACCAAATCAAATTTTAGAGTCTTTTCTCTTATACATCCCTGATTTTGATCTCATTCCTTTTCAAAATCTATTAACTTTTATCGTGTGTCGATTCAGCAGTCATATGTGAACATGCCTAATGATATGTTGCTTGAGATCTTCTCACGGTTCCGTGCAAAATCTCTCTGTAAGTGCAACTGTGTCAACAAATTCTGTAGCAGTATTTCTTCGGAGGACACTTATTTTATCCAAAAGCAATCCCAAAATGCCTCTTCAAGGGATGACTCATGTTTCTTTCTACAACCAAACTCGGCTCAAAGATACAGTGCAAAAACTGAGTTTCATCACTTTTGTTCAAATAACCCAATCTCTGGTCAGGACCGTGTGTGGTGCTTATATCCTATGTAATGAGTCATTAAGAAAAGTGACATGAATATAGATATAAATAATACTCCCTCAATCTCAAATTATAAAGCATTTTTAAATAAGTTTTTTTCGTCTTAAAATATAAGATACTTTGGGTGAATTAAGATTTCATTAAATGCATCAATTTTAATATTATTTTTTTTCTCTTTGTAATTAATTTTCATCCTTTCTCTTTTAAATGTATTAAATGATGAATATTTTTAAAATTTTATATTTGCATTTTGAAAAGATAAAATTATTGAGTGCAATTAATGATATTTATTAATATGTGAGATTGTATCAAAAAAATGTCATATAATTTGAAATGAAGAGAGCACTTTCTCCTGTTCCTATTAGGTGCTTTCAACCACTTCATTGAAACAAAAGACAGACAGTTAACTCATTTAATATATCTCAAAATGAAAAGAATTTCAACTTCATCCCTAGTGAAAATAGGAAGGGAGAGATACACAATATACAATAAGTCACAAAATTAAATTTATAATAGAGGTAAAATTGAAAAATGACAATAAACGATCCTTCATGTACTTTATATTAAAGATCCAAGAATTTTTTTAAAAAAATATTCCATAATAGGGACCGGAGGAAGAGTAATACATCAGACCCCTTAAATACTTTATCTTAGCTACGAAAACTCCTTCACACGGCCTTGTCTCTGGTGTCTCGTGATTTCTTACCATTTTTAAAGTGAAGGTCCTAGATATGGTTTGGTCAACTTTCTTGTGGTTGTGGTATATACTTTTTCCTCCGTCTCTCGGCTCCAGTCTAGGCAAACGGCACGGTACCCTGGCTACCTTTCTATTTTATTATTATTTGAGTCCTTATTTTTAGTGCCATATATTTTCTGTAATTATAAATTTGACCCAATTTGAAAGTTTTATCCTTTATTTAGGGATGGTTTTTCATTAAATTTTAAGCCACTAAATATTTGTTACGATTTTATTTTCTAAATTCAATACAATATGTTGTCATTTTCTTTTACTCAATTGTTAATGAACCTTACAGTGTTTAATTATATTATGGGAGATCTCAAAGTAATTCTTTCAAAATATAATGTATTATTTGAATTTTGCCATGAATTTACATAGTATTGAAGGATTTGGTGACAACTCCCTGTCCTTGGTTATTTATGTAGTAGTTGATAAAATTCTGAAACATTCATGATTCCTGTGTTTTGTAAAACCACGAGTAAAATTTGTTGCAACCTTATAAGTATTGTTAGAGATGCAATGAGCTATTTTTTTGATCTCCTACTAAAAATGTTCAAAATCGAGCTAAATTAGAAAAACCAAATCAAACCAACTCAAACTGAAAGGAACTGATGAAAATAAACTATTAATCAAGTTTGATTTGGTTTTTATGACATAAACCGATAAAAACCAATTAATTTGATTCATATTTCGATTTTAAACTGCAGAAAATGAACAAGGTAAAGAACACTTATTCTACTTGTAAATTTAATAGGGTGATTTGGAAATTTTGGAAATTAATGTATAAAATTTGAATAATAATTACAAAACTTATATAAATTTATTTGCAAATATATGAGATTAACTTGAAAATCTAAAAGATTGACTTATAAATATTAAGGCTTTTAATTTTTTTAAAAATATTTATTAAGAAGTTTGACTTGTAAATCTGTGAAATTTAATTTGTAAAAATTAAAATATTAATATTTCATTAAGAATATTTTTTTAAAAATTATTTTTGAATTAGTCAACGAATGATGACTACAAATTGTTGGTCAACATCAGTCAAACAAGTGAGTCTGTTATTTTACAAGAAAAACTAATCATAACTAAATTTCTAAGGATTTAAAGAAAATTTTATAAATTTGTCAAACTTATTTGAAAATAAGTCAAAAAAACTTGTTTGTAAATACCTAAGTGCTCGTTTGGTTCAATTACATGAATGGAGTTTACATGTAATCCGAATACAATTCTCACCTTTTGACTGTTTGGTTGCCATTTTGTATTGTAAAATCTTTTACAGTGTATGTAGATTACATTATAAGTGGTAATGAGAATTACATCAAAAAACCTTTATAATCCCCGTTCCTTATCATGAATTTACTCAAATATCCCTCCCTCTCTATTTTTTTCCTTTCATGCTTCTCCTCCTTATGACTGCAACTTCGACACCTCCTCCCTCTACCTTCGTCACCATCCTCTTCACCTCCATCAACCGCCACCTCCCTTCCCACTTCCTCATGCTACTCAAGACTATCCAGCGTCCCCTCCCTCCTCTGTGTTGGTTGCTGTTGTAGTTGATTATCGCCGTCATCTCTTGCTCTTTGCTTCAATCTCAACCAGTTAGCCTTCATATATATATATATATATATATCTCATCCCTCATAACGTTTTTTTTTGTTTGCAAATCTTTTTTTTTTGTTCACAAAAGTTGGTTGAGTTCAAAATCAAAATTTGCTTTTTTGCTTTTAAATTTTATTGCTTATTGATTTTAGAGTTAATTATGGTTTGGAAGAAGAAGGCTGAAGGGAAGGGAAGAAATTTTGGTTGGAATGAGAGGTGAAAGAAAATTTTTTAGGAGGGCATTACAGTCTTTTCATTTTTTCTAATCATTAAAATAAATATAAAAAATTAACTTAGTTTCCACCTTTCCAATATCAGACTAGGCTTCTCTCCTTTGAAAGAAGCCTCCTCCACCTCTCCTTTGAAGCAAAAGCTTAACTTGGGCTGTCCAAATTTAATATGATTGATCTAAATTTAATATTTTTATTTTTTATTTTTTATTTATATTTTTAAAATAAAAAATATATAAAAATTGTAAATTTTTTTTAATAAATATACTTATTACTCTAACAGTTCAGATTTAATATAGATAGTTTAAAATTAATATTAATAAATTTACTGTTCTATTCAAAATATATTTGCACTGTTCAAAATATATTTAAAAAGTTAATTTAAATTTTTTATATTAAATTCATATCATCTATATTAAATCTGGATTGTGAGATTGATAAGTATATTTATTAAAAAATTTTACAATTTTTATATATTTTTATTTTAAAAATATAAATAAAAAATAAAAATTGAAACTTTTAAATCTGGACCGTCAGATGTCCATATTTTCCATCGTACCAAACAAACATCTTATGATCGTCCCCGTTTCTTACCTTAACGTTACAAGACACTACTCATGATTCACTAAACCAAACGGGCTGTAAGCGTCCGCCGCATTCTTTTTCTTGGGATACCAGAATCTCTCTTTCAAGCTTCAAATATTGCTCGTGCTCGAACACAGCTGAATGTTCTTCCGCCCAGCCTGCGCGATTCAGAAAGCCAGGATGGATTCTCTAACCAAATTGAATTCTCCTTCCGGAATCCTTCTCAACACTCGTCTCTGGTCTCAGGATCATGATAAGCAGGTAGTCTTCCGAAACTTCTTCCAACGACTCGGATTTGTTTGGTCGTTCAAGCTTTTATTGTCTCTAGTTTCTTCAAAGTCTCTTCTGTTCAGTTTTCTCCCCCAACTGAATTGGAACTTGTTTACTTGTCTGATTTGTGAAGCATTTGGTAGAAATTGGCCGATTTTTCTGATGCTTTGTATTATCATTACAGCACAGCGTCGAAGGAGATTGCGAGTCCCCTTTGAACCTAGATACTCCCTTGGAATTTAAGCAAATTACTTCAGCTTTTGCAGTCCACCAGGTGACTCTCTTTCGCTATTTTTTTCCATACTGGGTCCACTCCCATAGTTATATATATATATATATATTGAGTAAAAGCTGAAGCTTCATTCCAATAAAGGAGCTAACAGATACAATAACCTAATGAAGAAACAAATAGAAAAAAACAGAAAAATTACGGACCAAAACACTTCTTTCATCATACTCCATCTACAAGGAAAGATGGAATATGATCAAAGATCCAAAAATCATTCACTAAAATATGACCAAACCTGGCTAATCTATCAGCAAAAGTATTAGAGTCCCTGTATATGAAATTTAAGGAAATAGCCCAATACTTACACAAGTTCACTGTAGTCTGAATGATGTCTTCAAAAGGGTGATTCCAGTTTCAAAGTCTGGTAAGTAGGTATTACCAAAAAAAAAAAAACAAGAAGAAGAAGAAGTCTGGTAAGTAGGTTAATGGCTTCCGCACAGTCACAGTAAATCTCCACATTTCTGAAACCACTGAACCAGCACATCTCTAAGCCTTTTTGTTGCGAGTAACTCTCATAGTTATATTGTTACTTGCTTTTTGTTGCTGAGTATAAACTATCTTGAAATGCAGTGCGTTGATGGCAGAGCTGCAGCCTCAAATCCTTTCCCATTACCCATCTATCGAGAGCAAGGTAAGAATTTTTTTTTTTTGCATTGTGTTGTCCCCAAACACGCAAATCCTAACTATTTTTTTTCCTCAGAAATTTTAAGGGACGTTGTTAATTGGATGAAGATGCTATTGTCGGGGCACACTATGCGTGGGATAAGTGAAGATCTTGCTTACAAGATGATTGTTGAGTTGTTTGCAACAATTGTATCAAACGCCGAGTCAGCTAAGGTTGTATTCTCATGCTTATCTTTCAAAGTTAAATGCTGTGGGGTTCTTATGATTCTTCTATGCGCATGTTCATTTGCAGGGGCCTTTCTCAATTCTCGGTAGCGCTGTAACATTTCTTCTTTCTTCTTATGGACAGGGATTTTCGGCTGTTTACGACATTTTCACAAAAGATCAAAAAAGGGAATTTGAGAGAGCTTACAGGGCCACGTACAATAACTTCCTGGTCATCGGGGATGAGTACTATGAGTATGCACTTCAATTCTTTGAGGGTAAAATTGAGTATCAGACCTTCTTGAGTAAGGTCGTCAGAGCCGCACGAATTACATGTTCAGCAGGTGGTCTTGGCCCACAATGTCCATATACTGCCGGTGTCTCTGTGGCATTGATGATGGCACAGGTATTGGCACTTCACCATTTTATCTATTTGGGTGTCGGCATTCTATCTTGCTAATCTATCGGGACTTGCGATGAGCACAATGGGCCTCCCTTTAACTTTCGTTACCTTTAATTTCAAGTGTCGGATTGATCAGCCACTGCTGACAACTAAAGCACCCTTTTTGTGTTTGGTCATGACAAAGGGGCACTTCGTTATTTTTGTCTCTAGAATTCTGTTCTCTCCCTTCTATCTATGAAGTACAATATGAAATTAACTGTGCATTAATTGGTGACTGCATAATTCAGGTCAAGATACTCGGGGAGAAAGGGCATTCCTACTTAGATGTCATTCATCATTGTGAAGCTATAGCTGTAGGCGTTCTAAGGCTTCGCTTGTGTTCTCCTTTACTTGATAACATCCGCACACAACACGCCTTGGAGGAAGTCGACCCGGAACTAATCAGAAACTTCTTGCCAGACCCAGTGCAGGTGGCTAAACAATTACATGGGCTGTTTTCTGGACATAGTATTGGGTCCCCACTGTCAACGGCACTTGATTTTATGCCTAATCGGAATGTAGAAGTTGTCAGACCATGGAAAATGGATCCATCTGGTGAGAGACGTGACGTCCAAGGAAAAGAGATAAATGGCGCTGGAACTAATTCAGGCTATGCAGTCTACCAGGTGATCTCTCTTTCTCTAGTTCTTCCCTTCTTGTGGGTCCACTCCCATAGTTATACCGTTACTTGTTTTTTGTTGCGAGTGTTAACTATCTTGAAATGCAGCGCACCTATGGCAGAGCTACAGCCTCCAATCCTTTCCCATTAACCATCAATTCAGAGCAAGGTAAGACTATTTTTTGCATTGTGTTGTCCCCAAAAACGCAAATCCTAACTACATTTTTTTTGTCAGGAATTTTATTGGGTTCTGTTCATAGGGTTACGGGGCACTTCTTTAGGAGATGCACTGAAAATGGAATGGATATAAGTCTTGCTCGCGATATCATTGCTATGTGCATTACAGGAACTGCATCAAGAATCGTCTCAACTAAGGTCGTATTCTCATGCTTATCTTTCAAAGTTAAATGCTATGGGGTCTTTCTCGGAAGTGCCATAACATTTCTTGTTTCTTTTCACGGACAGGGGCTTTCGGCTGTTTCCAACATTTTCACTGGAGATGAAAAAAAGGAATTTGAGAAAGCTCACGTTGACTCGTTCAGTGACTTCCACGTCTTCTGGGATAAGTACCATAAGGGTCGATTTTCTCACCTTATGGATAAAATTGGTGAGGCGTCCATATTCAGCGTTGATGAACTTGATCTTGGTTCACTCTGTCCGTATACTGTTGGTGTCTCTCTGGCATTTATAAGGGCACAGGTATTGGCACTTCACCATTTTATCTATTTGGATGTCTGGCATTCTATCTGCTAATCTATTGGGACTATGGATGGGCCTCCCTTTAACTTCTGGTAAAAAATGAGGAGGAATGAAGACTTTGGGGGGGGGGGACTCCTAGAAATGATTAAAAAATATTTCTTTTTTCTGAAATTCCTCCTCCTAGTTTCCCCATTTTCTTCTCACTTTTTCTTCTAACCAAACCAAGCCTTGATTTCAAGTGTGAGATTAATCAAACCACCGGTGACAACTAATGCACCTTTTTTTGTGTTTGGTCATGACAAATGAGCATTTGGTTGGTATTAGACTTGAATCAATGTGGGAAATCTCACATGGAATAACACTGAGTTCAATAATTGATATATAATAAAGGACTCATAAACTTAAGTCTTAAGATATGGTGTCCTTTTGCTACTTTTCTTCATTTGTCCCCTGCCTTATTTTCAGATTGTTTGCTCCCCATTCCTAATAGTTGGTTATTTTTGTCTTTAGAATTCTGTCTTCCCCCGTTTCTATTATTCTATCCATGCCATAGATATGAAATTAACTGTGCACTAATTGATGACTACACAATTCAGGTTGAGATACTCAAGGACAAAGGGCATTCCGACTTAGAAATCTTTAATAGTGTCAATAAAACTGTCGACGTTCTAAATAACTGCATCGAACTCGCCTTTGGGAGAGTCGACCCGGAACCAATCCCCAACAACCTATCAGACCTGGTGCATGGAGCAACTGGAACTTCTGCTCAGCTCAGAAACGAAGAGATGTCGGTGCCACCCAATGCAGATTCTCTGTCAGTGCATGCAAGTGCTGACTCTAATAATACTTCGTTTCTACAGCAGAAATTGGGCAAAATTGTTCCAATCTGCAACAAGTTTTTTCCATTTGGTCATGGCAGCCTACTCTGTGGTTTTGCTTGTGCCTATTTACTGGCAAGGGGTGTATTTGGGCTTCACTTCAACTACTCGGGTCAAGGCTTTTCGCTACGTGGGCAACAAGATCGCGCTATTGTGCATCGTGGCTTCTCGCTTAACGCATGGTTTGGAGCTCAGAAAAACGAAAGGTTTTTCATAGAAACTCTAGCTGACTGCCTTGCTAAATTTTCTAACATGATTCAGAAGAATTCATGACAAGAATCCTATTAGAGGAGGATTACTGTTCGAGCTTTAGGGTTTGCAATTTCTGTTCTTTTTAGTACATTCGGTTTTTATGGTGTCGCTGGTTAGACCGGTTGTTGACGTAATAATTAAATAAAAATAACTATGTTGGTGCACTGGTCGAAAGAAATATTGTTCTTGAAAAATATGAATAAAATTTTTGAAAATTTGGTAGGATAGCTGATTCATATTAATATATAAAGGATTTATCATCAATATATGAAAGATTTATCATTGATATATAACAATATATCATTAATAAATATAATAAATTAATTATAATATAAAATATAATAAATATTAAATTATTTATTATACTTTAAGCCTTATTTCATGGGTGGATAATGTAGAACGGGAAGGGAAAAGGGTTAGAGAAAAGTTAGAAACTCAGGAGAAAGTAAATTAATATCAATCAATTTTTATTCTAAAATACTTTAATCTGAATTTGGAACAAATTCCTCAGTTAAATATGCAAAAATTGAATTTAAATTTAATTCAAATCTAAATTCATTTTAAATTATAATTTATTTGTAATTTTAAATTTTTTTTTACACATAGTAATTTGAAATTCTAACCATTCAAACATCTCATTCTTTTCATATTTTTACATATTTCCATAACCCTCGTATCTTTTATCATCTCTTATAAATTAAAAAAATAAAAATAAACTCATCTTTTTTAATTTTCTATTTTTTTTTTCAAATCTCAACTCATCTCTCCTATTTTATTTGAAATCTTTTAAATTACATAAATAAATATTTTTTATTTGACATTTGAATGTAAAATTTCAAATTTAAAATTAAATCCATTAATCCAAATGTTACTAAAAGACAACCTAATAATATAATATATTATCATTATTCAAATCAAATCATTCTAATAAAATAAAAATATTAAATATAATCAGTACCATATCTCATCAATGGACTTCTATCATGACCCGCTGTCCCTAGGTTGGTTTCAACAAGAATTTGCTTCATCTCATAAATCAAAACGAAATCAATCTAGAAAGAAAACCCATGAAAATATAGTTAAACCCATAGATAACAATAGCATCAGACTTGTGGAGTTACGGGATGTATTGCAGCCTTAATGGATTGGGCCTGTATAAATATAAATTGTTTGGATATCTTGGGCAGATATTTGCACTAACCAGAATCCGATGAAGAACACTCAAGGAGTTTATCGTAATATTATAATTATAGTATAGTATTTATAATATAATTACAAACATCTTAATTATATATCATAATAATACCTCTCTGATCTTAATACATCGTTTTTGATACTTTTGATATTAAATTATTCCTATTTTTAATTTTGTTACATATATCTGTAAGCAAGAGAAGCTAATTTGGCCCTACCCAGATAAGCATGAGCAATTTTAAAATCAAGTTTAAAAGTTTAAAAGATTTTCTTTATTTCAAACTTATTCGAGCTACTTGAAAAAAATCTGGACTAAGCATGAACTAAATGGACTTAGCTTGAATACCCAAATTATTTTTATCATTAATAAAATAAAATTACAGTAAGATAAAAAATTTAAATTAGCTAAAAAATAATAAAATAATATTTAAAAAATCAGGTTATTAATAAAAAAATTAATTATTTAATCCTCATAGTTTTAGCTTAAGTATAACTTAATTTCTAAAGTTTGATTTATTGTGACTCGGTTCTTATAATTTTAACTCATCTGTAACCCAATTTTTAAATTTTACCTTTTATAATTCAATCCTTATAGTTTCAACTACTTAAATATTGATCTTATATTTTAAAAAATAAAATATAAAAATTAAAAATATTTTGAGCATTTAATATTTATAATATTTAAATATTTAAATATTAAATAAACTCTTTCAATCTTTATAAATATTATAAATATTAAGGATTCAAAATATTTTTAATCTTTATAATTTTATTTTTTAAAATGTAAAAATTAATATTTAAATGATTGAAACTATGGGGAGTAAATTACAAGAGAAAAAAATTTAAGGACTGAATTATAATTGAATTAAAACTACGAGGACTAAATCATTAATTTTTCCTTAATAAAATAAAATTACAATAAGATAAAGATTGAACATAGCTAAAAACATAATAAAATAATATTTAACAATTTAAGTATTTGAGTTAACCCAAAAAAACTCAAGGTGTTACGAGTAGACTTGGCTATATAAATTTTTTTATATATTCGAGTATTTTAAATTCAATTCGAATAAGGTCAATATAAATTGAATTCAACTTGAATAAGTCCAGTCCGACCTAAATAGGCTTGCTTTACCCTAAGCTATCTTTGGGAAACATCTAAGATGGCAACATGTTATAAAGGTCGTTCACAAATATAGAAATTCGAGTCAATTCACCCAATTGAAATCCTTAAACAAGTATATTGATTCATTTAATAAAATTTTTTATTTATGATCAATTTAATCATAGTTCGACTATGATTTTAACCATTATTCCTTAAACCAGTATCATGACTTGTCCATTTTTCAATGTGTTGGTGGTCCAAATTCAATTGTAAGCAATGGAAGAGGCAAGTATGGTGCAGTTGGAGTTCATATGTCTTAAGGAAGTAGAAGGCTGGATGATTTTTGGCGTCAAAAGGTAATTTAAGTTAGTTTCATAATGCTTGCGATTGATTTCATATTTTATAGTGGACCTTGCGCTCTATTCTCTCCCTAAAATGTATTATTCCTACCGTTTAAAAATGTTAAATATAGTATTTTTTAAAAAATTAAATGTTAAAAAATATAAAATATTTTTAGTCTTTCAAAACATAATCATTTTCTTTTTTTAAAAGTATCCCTATTAATAATGACTTTATATTTATTATAAGATATTTAATGAGAATAAATATAAAAAAATAAAATTAGTTAAAAAATAAATAATTACTTTATTAAAAATAAAATTTAATTAATAATATTTTATATTTTTGAACGGAAGGAGGATTTGTTACAGAGGAAGAAGTCTCTCGACCAACTGACTTTTGTCTTTGCGCAAATGCTGACAGACCAAAAAAATTAATCCGCACACTCAGCATATGTCACAGCTTTTGAAGTGTCTTGATTATGTTTCATACAAGTCTTCCATTCTAGTTTTATTTCCCGCTCCCCAAATATTAGCATTAGAACATATGTAATGTAATATTTTCATAGGAGAATTTCGGTTATACCACCATAAAAACTTAATTTCATGGGGATTCAAAAAAAATTTTGAAATTTGAAAAAGAGTCAAATGAATTTTAACATTAAAAAGATTAAAGGAAAAATTAATATTTTAATTCTACAATTTTTAAGTTGCTTGTAACTCAATCCCTCAACTATGACTCACTGTGAGTTAATCCCTCAACTATGACTCACCTATGATTTAGTCCTTCAACTTTTAAATCACTTACAAATTAGTCCCTGAACTTTTGTTAATTTTTTTTTATGTTAGCTTATATCTCACATCAATGAGCAAAAGAATGGTATTTTAAAATAATATATGAGCATTTTTTTTATCCTTCTTATTTGATAAGAAATTTTTTTAAAAAAAATAAAAAAATAAGGACCGAATTATAGATAAATCAAAAGTTGAAGGAATGAGTCGCAGCAAGTTATAGTTGAGGGACTGAGTTACAAGTAAGATTAAAATACACTTTACTTGTTATGAAGAATCACTGGTTGTTAATTTTCTTAATGCATTTATTAATTTCTCAATATCATTTGTAAATTATACCCATTTGTCAAACAATCAGTAATATTAACTGTTAATATATTAACTTTATTTGTTAATTTACTAACATCAATTATAAATAACAAGACCTATTAATAATGTACAATTAATATTAGTAAATTACAAGGCCTACTAGTGAATTAACAAATAAAGTTAATAATTTAACAAGTAATGTTGCTGCTCATAATTGAAAAAATGATATCAAATTCTATATAATTATTGATGTGAACTCATATAATTTGCTAACTCAGTTTTGTAAATTAACAAATTTCAATTTAAAGTGAGGATTCAAATCCTAGTCCGACCTGTGATAAAGGACTAACCCGTTCAATTAAATTCAATCAATCTCAATCTCCGTTAACAGTACTAGTAGCTTACATGAATTAAAATTACCTTAATCATTTGGGTTAGAGGGTTGGCTTTATCAGGGATTTTTTTAAGACCTTACATTACGTCAAGGCATGTTTCAAGTTGAGCATTTAGCATTCTGTGTTTGATGAGCTCATCAGTCAAAGCTTTGATCCTAGCCTCTCAAATTTCTATCATTTTTTTATTTTGATAAATATAAAAAACTTTTAAATCTAGATAATGAACACCATGGTCTCTTCCGGTGAGAACAGATCAACAGAACGCAGTACAAATTTAATATCAATGCAGACACTTCAACAAGCAGGGGAGGCAATAGCAAGAAATGCATGACAGTACAAAACCATTCAATTTCAGAGAAAATCGAATAAACAGAATAAAATTAAGAAGGAGAAGAAAACGCACCCGGCAACTTGTAACCTTAAATGGAATGGCCGTGGAGTTCATTCTGCATCTCGCCCGGGAAGAATGTAAATCTTTTGGGTTCGCCTGCTAAATCCTCTGGCTCGAAACTTGTAGAGGAAAAGTTAAAACTCAGGAAAAGGCGTACAAGAGGACTTGTCTTCGGCATACAAAATGGTGACGAGGCTGAATGCAGATCGAAATCTGCAATTGGTTCGGCAAAAATCGCGACTCAAGAAAAAGGATGGTTGGATGAAGAGACGGAGAGACGGAGATGGAGAGAAGGCATAAAGATAGGGTTTCAGGTTTCAACGTTTTCTTTTTAATAATATTTAATTTAATTTAACAACAAGATTTCAGTCTTAAAAGTGGGAAATAAAGAGCGGGCCCAACACTTTTTTTCGTTTTTCGCCAGCGAGGCAAAAAATGAATACACTATAACTATGTTTCTTTTTAGTTAAAACCGAGTAACCCAATTAAAAAAAAAATCTTTTTATATCAACACTGTATTTTGTTTTGATATTTTAAATAAAAATAAAGAGAACAAATATTCTCGCAGTTAGAAACTAAAAAATGAAAATAGTGATCTCTAGGTCAACATTGTATTTCTAGGTTCTGGAAGGAAATTTTTAAGTCAACAAATTGCATCAAGAAAAACCTTCATTGCTAGGTTACTAATGGAAAATCCATCT